TCTTTCCTAGGAATGTCTCCCATATCATGCAGTCACAGACAGTTCAACTAAATGCCCTCATTTGTTGATTAGCATGCTCTGAGGAGGGTCCCCAATGCAGTGGATTCAGGTAAGGAGCAGTTCTAAGGTGGTAGTGATTCGCAAATGAGACTGAAAGAGAGAGGCCCTTAAAGGTTTGTGCATGCTTCCTTGGGCTTCAACATTTACAGCTGAAAGTGCTTTCACCTAAAGTTTTGCTTTTCTGTTTGGACTAATTATTGGGGTTACTAATATTAAAGTAGGTGAATACCCCTTGGATTCTGACGGTTTGATTCACAGTCTTGCTCCATCATCCACTGTTGCCTAATCTCTGTGAGCCTCAGTTCCTATATGTGTTTTATTGTGAGGATTAAATGGGTTGGTGTATATAGTATGTACAGCAGAGTACCTGACACATTGTTGGCTTTCCATAAATGACTGATCCATTCTTCTATTCCCTTTATAGTAGATGACTATGGAAGGCTTGAGAAATAATCCAAGAATTTTGGAAGGTTAATATTGTGTATGCATATTTATTCCTAGTGAGTTATTTGGACTTACTGGATAATTATCAGATTTAATAGTTTATATAATATACATTGCTGTTTCTAATGAATTAAGAGCTATTTCAGGTGCTTTGCTTTTGAGGTTATACTTGGAGGTGAATATTCTTTTAAGAAGCATAAAATGTCAGAGCTGGAGCTCATGTAGTCCAGAGGCTCTTAAACTGGCAGGTTGCAGAACCACCTGGGAAGTGTGTTGAACCTGGGTTCTCAGGCCTTGCCCTTAGAGATACTGATTAAATAGGTGAGTCTGATGCAACCTTTGGCGACCCCTTGTATCCTATTTATAGATCAGGAACTAAGGCAAGTACACAGTGTTAGAAGAACTTGGTGTTAATTAACCAAATTAACTAACAATTACATCTTTGTTGGATATTCATTCACATATTAATTTAACAATTCTTGGTGTGCAGGAACTATTATGTGAGAACTAAATCCTTCCCAATTGTACCCAACCCCAAACTTGTAATAGGAGAGCTAAGATAAATCCACAAAGTAATGTTTTAGAAAAGTGCTTGCAAGGAATTAGAAGCAAGAATCCATTCTGCCATCTGTTAGTTGTATTTCCCTGAGCAATTGAGTCAATCTCTCTGAGCTTTAGTTTTGTCATTTGGAACAGTAGAGATAATTCTGTTTCTCACCTTGAGAAATATGTGATAGCTCTTGAAAAACTATAAAGAATTAAATAAAAGGCATATGAAAGATAGTTATGTGTTCAACATTTTAATTAATATGCCAGGCTCTGGAGCTTATCTGGTGCTTGCCCCTAAACACTGGTGAAGGAGACACACACAAAAATGTTAGTATAAAGTAAAAAACACTGTTTTAGAAATAACAGAGTTCCTTTGGGAGCATGACTGAGAAAGGACCTGGAGGGAATCAGAAAGGCTCTGGAGAGGAGGTGGCCTTCAATATTAGCCTTGAAGGGATAGGAAGCTTCCCTGGCAAAGAAGAGGAGAGTACTGTGTAGAAGTGTGGAGGCATCAGGTGTGGTGTACATGTACAGGATGTCCATCATGCGTAGACCTGTGGAGTTATGGAGCTGAAGCTGAAAAAGACAGACTGGGCTGGATTCTGAGGATCTCTGTGTCAGGAATTTTAAATATTATTACTTACACAAAGAATTTTGAACATGGGTAGATTGAGTAGATAGAAATTTTAGACAGATAATTATGGCTTTATTCTGGAAAAACTTGAAGGAGAATGACTAGAAGTTGTCATTATTATTGCTTCCCTTTACTTTTATAATTTAATGAACTAATGATATATTTTTTATGTGAACCCTAATGATATCAACCTTTATAATTCAAGGAATTTAGCTCATTTTTGTAGTTCTACATAATGCTGTATATATGAAGTCTTTTGCCTCCATTAAATTATTTCCTAAGGATAAGTCTCCAGAAATAGTGTTAAAAGATCAAAAGATGTGATCCTTATAATACTTCAGTATTTCTTTCTCTTTTCACATGTGGTGTTTGTCTTATGGTGCACAATCAATATTAAAATACATGGTTTCATCACTTGAGTGGCATTTGATGCTATCTAAAGTTACATTAACTCAGTAGTTTGCTCTAATTTTCATAATATTATTTTTGTTTTTATTTGTTTTGAGATGGGGGTCTCAGGCTGCCCTTGAAATCCTGAACTCAAGTGATCCTCCTTCCTCAGTCTCCTATATATACTAGTATTTACTCCTTTTATTTTAGTATTGAAGTTGTAATTATCTTTCCCTTTTTGTTTTAAAATTTTTATATTCCTCAAAACTGTTAAGTAGTTTTTGAATAAGGAAATGTTGTAAAAGCATGATTATCATATTTATAAATGCATAACCCTTGTAATCTTTCTCAATCTAAAATACATTTCCTGTTTTTTATGTTTTTTTATGTTTGCTTCTCACATAGTGTCTTCAAGCCAATATTCACCTTAGTGATATCCACTGTACTACTTTGGTATACAAGAACTAATATGCTTTTTAAAAGTCATGAAATCTATGGTATTCTCATTCAGTATTGTTCACCTTTATAATGAAATTGATTACACTTATTCTTTAAAGCTTTGTTATGTTAAATTGAAACTTCTTTTTCCTGTTTTAAAAATTAAAATTACATATAGGATCGCTCTTGGAAAACCCTATTTACCTATAAGCTTACAGTGTCTAAAGTTTCTTCAAGGGTACTCTTTTCTATAGTTATCAAAAGCAGTTACTGTATTCTTATTGGCATAAGTTACTAAGGTCTCACAGCTGGGGATGTGGCTCAAGTGGTAGCGCACTCACTTGGCATGTGTGAGGCACTGGGTTCGATTCTCAGCACCACATAAAAATAAAGATTTTTTTTTAAAAGATTTTCAATGTATATATATTTTTAAAAATGTTACTAAGGTCTCTATCAGTATGCTATGGATTTATTCTGAGCACTCACAATCTGGATGAATGTTTTTCTTTTTCAAGGTGACCCAATAAAGCTGTCATTAATTAGTACATTTAAGAGGAAAATATATTTCTTCTCTTTCTCAAAACTTTTGAGCTGATATTCCAATTCTAAACAATCCCTACTTCTGTCAGAATTTTGCAAGGGAGCCAAGTGAAGGAAGCATGCTTTGAAAAGCAACACATGGCGTAGTCACTGTTGCGGAATCTGGATTACTAGCTTGTGGTGAGCCTAAAAATTCTGCTTAGTTTGCTCTTTTTAGTAGACTGGAAGAGCTTGGCCACTTGTCTGTGGCAGCCATTTTGTATCATTGGCAAGGGGGCATGTGCTATGTTGACAGGCTTGGGTCAATTAGAAATTTTATTTGAAGCTAGATCTGGTTTATTAAATACATTTACTTAAATTTTAGGAAAGGTTATAAACACTAGTGTTTTTGTCTTAAAAGTAACAAAAGCATATAGTAAAGAAAACTCAAAGGAATATAAAGTGAGAGTCTGCCTTTTTTCTATACCCGTAGTCCTACCTTTCATGAACATTGTTAACAATGTGTTGGGTAAACTTCCAGAAATTTCCTGTGCATATTAAACCATAGCCTTATATGTCCTTTAAAAAGACAGTAGTGGGACTTTTGTGTATGTATCTACAAAATGTTAATAAACTATTTTTTTGATTTAGTGTTTTATAGGTAACTTTTTAAGCCAGCACATGTTCTTCCTTCTCTTAAAAACAATATTTGGAATGTTCCAATTGTTATTGCTACCTCTAACAATACTGAATTGAAAATCATTGTGTATGCATGCATCTTTTTACTTCCTATTGGCTACTTTCCTAGGGGTAGAATTGCTGGGTCAAAAAATTACCATCAGCTGGGCGCAGTGGTGCATGCCTGTAATCCCAGCAGCTCTGGAGGCTGAGGCGGGAGGACCACAAATTCAAAGCCAGCCTCAGCAACAATGAGGCACCAAGCAACTCAGTGAGACCCTGTCTCTAAATAAAATACAAAATAAGGCTGGGGAGTGGCTCAGTAGTTGAGTGCCCCGGGTTCAATCCCCAGTACCAAACAAAAACAAAACAAAAAAAAAACCCTAAAATTGCTACCCGAAATTTGTAATTTCAATTTAGACACTAAGATTTATTGAAAGTACCTTATTCCCAGATGTTGAAGGAGTATGAAGGAGAATGAAATTAGGCTTGATTGAAAACTTCCAGATGGGGCTGGGACTGTAGCTCAGTGGCAGAGGGCCTGCCTAGCATGTGTGAGCACTAGGTTCGATCCTTAGTACCACTTAAAAATAAAACAAATAAAATAAAGATATGCTGTCCATCTACAACTACAATTAAAAGAAAAAAAAAAAACTTCCAGATGCCCTATATGTGTGTTAATTACAAAAGATATTTATTTAATATTCATTATTAATGGTAGACACTCCCATTTGGCTTACATACATGCTTTCTTAAAATGGAACCAAAGTGAAAGTAAGTTGATCCCTTCAGCAAAAAGAGATCACTGCAGATCTGAGGGAGGAAGATTTTTAGGAATTGGATTAGAATTGGTTGCAAAAATCAGATGAAATACTTTGTGTCCTAATGATTTTATATTTGCAAACTTTAAGAAGCCATATAAATAGAAGTGCTTATTTCCTTTTGGATTTCATTAGGGCACATTCCTTGTATCCCTTGCAAACTAGGCCTTTAAAAACTTTCCTTGCCTGTACCCCTACCTCCATAGAAACAGCGTCCTCTGCAGACCTGGTCCAGATTCAGGGACTGTATCATCCAACACTTGCGGTGTTGTCATGATTAGAATGGCTTTTTGTTAGACAGCTGGATTTTTGATGTTTTCAAATTGCTGAAATATCTCAACCAGATAAAATAAAAGAGATGGCTTGGGGATCATGTGTTTGTCTTCTTGTTATTGCTGGGTAATTCAATATTTAATATCTAGTTTCTCTGGTAATTTTAATAAACATCTATGTAATACATTCCACAGATTTCAATGGGACAGATGTTACAAGATTTTGGAAAATTTCTCGGAATGTTCCTTCTTGTTTTGTTTTCTTTCACAATTGGACTGACACAGCTCTATGATAAAGGCTATACTCCAAAAGAACAGAAAGACTGTGTGGGCATCTTCTGTGAACAGCAAAGCAATGATACCTTCCATTCGTGAGTGGTTTTTGGAATTTTTAGTAAATATATTTCTCTCTGTTGTGTTCAATGTGAATTAGAGGCTATAAAAATAAGGCTTAAAATTTTCTTTATGAAATTCCTTTTTATAAACTTTAACACATTCTCATTTTTCGTGAATCATTTGTAGTCATTTTACATAGAGAATCTAATTAGTAGGTCCAAGTTGCTACACCTATCTTCTGTGCTGCATCCTACCTAACACAGCAACTCTTGGCATTTTGTACACTCTTAGAATTTGGGGGCAGTTCCTTGTCAGCCATATGTGCAAGGTGGTCAGCATCTCTGTTCTCCAAGGATTCAATGTCAGTTGCAACTACCAGTCATTGTTACAACCAAATATACTCTCTCACTTTTTCAACATTTCTTAAGAGGTCGTTAGAATTGTGAATCATTAGAACTTATGAACAAGGTTTTCTTCAATTCTAATGAATCATAAGGAGTGAAACAACCAGCCAATAGGTAGACAAAATACCTTGCCCCCCCCTTTGCTTTTGGTACTGGGATTGAACTGAGGGTCGCTTAACAACTGAGCCACATTCCCAGCCCTCTTTTTTATATTTTAGAGATAGGGTCTCACCCAGTTGCCTAGGGCCTTGCTAAGTTGCTGAGGCTGGCTTTGAACTCTCGATCCTTCTGCCTCAGCCTCCCAAGCCTCTGGGAGTATAGATGTGCAACTACCATGCCCATCTCTTACCTTATTTCTTAAATAAAATAATAAAGAAAAGGTATAGTATTCCATATTTGTGTATTCCTGTTACATAACAACAATTCGTTACGTTGAGTGTCCTCTTATTTAAAGAACATGATTAATGAATATGTGTTCATTGAGTATTCATACTATATGCTAGTATACGTATATATGCATGTAAGAGAGATTTGATAGCGGCTACAAAGTACCCCAGAAGAGATGATAATCAAGTACAGAACTAAAGTTGGTAAAGATGCCATGGAGTTGTCTGGCAGAAGAGTATTCGCAGACAGAGGGAACAGCAAAGGCTGTACCCAGCAATGGAAGCAGGGCTGGCATGGTCAGTGTGGATGGAATGTGGTGCCTCCGAGGGAGAGTTGCTGGTAATGAGATCTCAAAGTAATAGGGACCAGGTGGGAGGGACCTTGTTGGCCCTTGTTAGGATTTGAGTATTGAGAGTGAACAACATTTGAAGGTTTAAGTATCAAATAGGCTGCTGTGTGGAGACTAGACAGGCTGCAAATTATTAAACAATGAGGAATCATTTATCTTCCTTTAAGTCCATGTCCTTGTTTAAAGTAAGACATACCTGGGACTGGGGGTATAGCTCAATGGTGGAGTGCTTGCCTCACACTTGTGAGGCACTGGGTTTGATCCTCAGCACCACATAAAAATAAATAAATAAAATAAAGCTATTATGTCCATCTACAACTAAAAATAAATTTAAAAAATAAGACATACCTGTACTATGGAAATCAACCTTTAGTCCTATAAAGTGTTATGCAAGGATTATTAATGTATGTTTTGTATACTTTTGTTATTCATTTTTGCCAATTTGTTTAATTTCCTTTTAAACAGAAATGTAATTGTCTTTACAGGTTCATTGGCACTTGCTTTGCTTTGTTCTGGTATATTTTTTCCTTAGCACATGTGGCAATCTTTGTCACAAGATTTAGCTATGGAGAAGAGTTGCAGTCCTTTGTTGGAGCCGTTATTGTTGGTACATACAATGTCGTAGTTGTGATTGTGCTTACGAAACTGCTGGTAGCAATGCTTCATAAAAGCTTTCAGTTGATAGCAGTAAGTGTTCTTTCTTTTAAAACTTTATATTCTCTTCAGATCTTACTAAATGTGTGCAATAAAGTAAACAAAAATTATAAGAATTAAGAAATAGTATCATTAAAAAATTAAATATAGAAATTTAAAATGTAATTTATAACAGTTGCAAACCTTAGACCAACTTTTTGTCTACATGATGTGGAAACATTTAGACAGTTTTAAAGAATGTGTTCCCTCACCCTCTCCTGCCTGCCTCTGTGTGTGTGTGTATGTGTGTGTGTGTGTGTGTGTGTGTGCGCGCGCGCGTGCGCGCACGTGCATGGACACACTCACTCTATATTGCTTTTCATTTTCTTCTTATAGAATCATGAAGACAAAGAATGGAAATTTGCTCGAGCAAAGTTGTGGCTTAGCTACTTTGATGACAAGTGTACATTACCACCACCTTTCAACATCATTCCTTCTCCAAAGACTATTTGTTATCTGATTAGTAGCCTCAGTAAGTGGATTTGCTCTCATACATCAAAAGGCAAGGTCAAACGGCAAAACAGTTTAAAGGTAAGAAATTAGAAGTTTGATTTGCAGCAAAGAAGTTGTAGCAATCCCTAATATTGGATGTTTCTTTCTTTTTTTTTTTTTTTGAGTATTTTTTTTAATTTGTTTTAATTAGTTACTCATGACAGTACAATGACCTTGACATATCATACATTTGAATCACATGGGATACAATATCTCATTTTTCTGAGTATACAGGTTACAGAATCACATTGGTTATGCAGTCACATATATACACACAGTAATAATAATGTCTGTTTCATTCTACTATCCTTCCTATCTCCCCAACCCCTCCCTTCCCCTCCCATCACTTCTCTCTACCTAATCTAAGGTAGCACTATTCTTTTTTTTTCTCACATCTTCATATATGTATTTCATATAACAATGAGGTTCTCCTTCCACCATCCATGCATTAAAACCTAAATATGTGAGTTCCTGAGGGCCTATGACTAGTTTGTTTTATCCATTGTTGTATCCCTAATGCACAGCATAGTATCTAACATGAAGGAAGGATTTAGTAAATATTTGTGAGAGATAGAAGCAAGATTTCTTTAGTTTTCAAATTTTCCCAGCATGTGAAATCTCATCTTACAGTTTGAAAATATGGAAAATAATTTAGAATACCTATTCTTTCACCGTAGATAAAAAATGACTAATAGAGGCAGCTCATGTATTGACTTGCATATTCATTCTTTAAGAAACATCTGATAGGGCTGACACTGTGGCTCAGTGGTAGTGCACTTGCCTGGCATGTATGAGGCACTGGGTTCGATTCTAAGCACTGCATATAAATAAAATAATGGTCTGTCAAAAACTAAAAAAATATTTTTTTAAAAAAGAAACAGGGCTAGGATTGTGGCTCAGCAGCAGAGCGCTCGCCTAGCACAGGCGGGACACGGGTTTGATCCTCAGCACCACATAAAAATAGACATTATGTTCTGCCCATCTACACCTAAAAAAATAAATATTTTAAAAAAAGAAACATCTGAGATTGGCAATTGCTCAAACTTCTATGTTGCTATTTGATTCTTCTTGAAAGTTATTCAATACATCAATAATATAGTACATGTTTCTTATAAACCAGGATGTTGCTGAATTTTCCAGTAAAAAGCTAGAGAGTAAATATTTCACATTTTGCAAGCCAAAACAAAATTAAAGATATTATGTAAGTAGTAATATGACAAGAGAGAAAAAAATTCCCATCAATCTTTATTGGTGAAATCCAAAATATGACAATAATTGAGTAATAATCTTTGTAATACATGAGTACTAATAAAAAGAATGTGATTCCTTTTGGTAGGGATAAAATTCTACTTAAAGTTCAAGATTAGAGAGCTGCCTATCATAAAATTAATTACAAATGTTCATTTGTACAAACAATTCTTAGGTCACATACTATAAAAACAGGAATGAGGCCACATTTTGGACTTTGGGTCATAGTTCACTAAACTCTGCTCTAAATTTAATATTCCTGATGCCATTTTTTTAAAACCAAGTTTGCATAGTGATGAGTAAATAAAACAGATATGCAGTCTATATTTGTTTTAAACAAGTGTTGAACATTATTTTGTACCACTTTATGGCAAAACTGTCATCTTTTAAGCATTAAAAGCTCTGTGTACCTTTTTTAAAAAATTTATCTCATTTAAACATTGTTTCTGGAACTGGGGGTACACTTCAGTTGTAGAGTGCTTGCCTAACATGTACAGGGCTCTGTGTTCCATCCCCATCACTGTAAATAGTTATATATTTTTTTCCTGCATATCATTGGTTATCGTATTATTTTATGTTTTGAAGGAATGGAGAAATTTGAAACAAAAGAGAGATGAAAACTATCAAAAAGTGATGTGCTGCTTAGTACATCGTTACTTGACTTCCATGAGACAGAAGATGCAAAGTACAGATCAGGCAACTGTGGAAAATCTAAATGAACTGCGCCAAGATCTGTCAAAATTCCGAAATGAAATAAGAGATTTGCTTGGCTTTCGGACTTCTAAATATGCTATGTTTTATCCAAGAAATTAACCATTTTCTAAATCTTGTAGAGAATAATTTTCAATAACGAATTTGAAAGACTGTATTTACATAACTTGCAATTAAATTAATAAGATATATATTGAAATAATTATGTAAAAGCCATCCTTTAAAATATTTATAGCATAAATATGTGTTATGTAATATATGTATATAGAATTAGTTTTTTAAAACCTGTCAGTGGCTTTTTGCAGGAGCAAAACACATTAAGTAGATAGATTTTAATTAGCATGCTATTTGGTTTTCTTAATTGGACAGTGCTTTAAAATGTTATTCTTTTTATGTGTAAGAGGAGTATAAATATACACATTGCTCAGAAGGTTTTGTAAAAAGTAAAGGTCAGCAAATGTGAGCTTATTTATCTCCTACCATAAGATACACTTGAAATATAAACATTATGGTTTTTAAAACCTCTGTTTTAGTTCACAAATATAGTCCAGTATTTATTGTTTAGCAATAGAATTTTATCTAAAATAATAGTCTATTTTTTTTATTTTATTATAATCTTAAGCAACAAAGAAAAAACCATAATGAATATTTGAATCTATTTATGTCTGTCAATTTAAATTCACTTCAGTTTTTGTTATTGTAATATATTTACTTTTACATGGTTATAATCATTTTATATTTTTAATTTTATTTTTTTCACTTAATAGTATTATATACATATATATTTCCATGTATTGTGTAGTCTATTCAGATTTTTATAGAATTATGTCATTTTTGAAAAATAGACATTTTTATTTTTTAGCCATAGGGTATTTATAAGTTTGCATAGTTACTTCCCTGGTCATTTGGGTGCTTTTAATTTTTCTTTACCATGATAGTGCTATAATTTTTTCCAAGCCAGAGTGAATAATCATAAAATAAAGATACATCTTTATCATGTGTAGTCATAGCCTTTTGGTTTTGTAAAACAGTGGATGACCCTTTAATGAAAGGATTTGTTTTATATTTGAATTAAGATTCTTGAGCTTATCTCCCAAAGTATTTTCCACAGAATTTAACACAGCTTCTATTAAAGTGACTTCATGCTTATTTGTGGATCATTCTTGCTGCTTAAGATGAAAAGCCTTGTTTTTTTTAATTTAAGAATAAAATGTATATTTAATTTTATAATATACATTATAAAATGTATATTATATTTTCTGTGTTCACCTGAGGGATGTAGGTAGAATTTTTTCATAGGCTATAGCTTATATATTCTTGCAGCATTTCCAGTTAAGAAGGTATAAGGTATATAATTCTCTGCTTAACTGAATGTCAGATGGTCTTAAGGCCACAGGGTGCAGGTAGCTCTTGGTCTATAAGCACCACCGATCCAGGGATCATTGTCTAAATATGTCAGTGTTATGTTTCCCTTACTTTTTAATTTTTATTTTTTTCCAAATTTTAAGTTTTCCCTCTTTGGGGCAAATTCTTATAAAAATGTTTATTGTAAAGTTATATTTTGTCTACGATGGGATTATGCACTTCCCAATTGGGATTTTACATCAGGATTTTTAGTCATTCTAAAAAACATCTAATTATTAAATTAAAATATTTATAGAGTGCCTAATGCATGCATGAGTTACTTATGAGGTATATTTTGAATGAGTATATTATAAGAAAAAAGGTGAATAAAACTTGACATTAAATCACAAATTGACAGTCTGTCTATTCTATTATATACTTTCTAAAATTGATATATAAGATAAAAGATAAGATTTATCTTTTTAGAATGTACAATTCAGTGATGTTGGTTTTTAAAAGTCATTGTAACAAAGTACTAAAATGCAAAAATATCAACCTTAGATGTTCCTTGTACCCCTTCCCGTCTCTAGTGGTAATCACATTTGATTCTGTTAGCTGTTTCCTCTTATATTGATGAATACCATATGTCCACGGAAGGACCTGTATGTGAATGTTCATAGAAGCTTTTTTCATGACCCAAATGGAAAACAACTAGATGTTCATCAACTATGAATGAATTTAAAAAAATTGTATGTACACACAATGGAAATTTACTCAACAGTGAAAAGGAATTGTCTCAGTCAGAGAAGCAGAACTTCTAGGATATTTGCAGGCATGTTTGTGTAGTGGTCTGTTTATTTGGAGTTGATAAGCAGTCTTGGTGAGGCTGTTTTTTGCATCTAATGCTGGAGCTGGAAGTTCATGCAGTTGGCAGGTAGGAAGGATAGACAGATATAAATGAGGGAGTGACGACAAGCTGGAACCCATGAAGGTGGATTGACACGCCATGGCAGTGCTCTTGTCTCTAGCCTTATGAAGTGGTATCCCGTGAGAGAACTGTTGCCCTTTGCTCCCTGCCTTTGGAAGTGTGTTGCTAAAACACAATTGGTTCAGGAAGTAGAGATGAAGTAGGATCCAAGGAAAAATGGAACATCGGTAAGCCTGGCTGCTGCCCACATCAGTGAGGTGAGCTAGCAGGGAGGGTACCACAGGTCTGAGTTACAGAAATATCCACATAAAGAACAGAATAGGTACTGCTTTACCTCTGCTGTGCAGATGTCACACTAAGATGTCTCTTGTGGCCCACCCTAACTAGAAGCATATAAGGAAGTGAATTCTGGGAAACATAATTAGGCCTAGGTAGGTTAATACATTATAGTGCCACCACAGGGACAAACTACTGACATGTAATAACATGCATGAATTTTAAAAGTAAGTGAAGGAAACCAGTTACAAAGGTTACATACTGTGTAATTCTACAACAGTACATACTAGAAAAGATAAAACCTTGGCCACCAAGGTCTGGTGGAAAGAAGATTGCATGCAATAAATCTGATGAGAAAATATAAAATATAGCGCTACAACATAAACATATTAAGGAGATAAGAAAATACTGTGGAATCTTATAATTCATCACTACTCCAAAAGAAAACTGAATATATGTCAGTACCCATCACTAGCAATACCAAAGGGCAAACTACAATAATAAATGGTCACATGCAGTACATTTTAAAAATTATTTTTGTATCTAGGGTCTCTGATTTTTAACAACAAAAAAAAGGAATTTCTCAATCGCTACACATATGTACATATATACATATATATGTGTATGTATATTCCTGTCAGTATTCTGACTGGATTGTATTGAATCTACTCACTTTGGGAAGAATTGACATTTTAACAATATTGTTCTCTAGTTCATGAACATGATACATCTCTCCATTTATTTAGGCCTTCCTTAATTTCTCTCAGCAATGTTTTATAGATTTTATAGTTTCTCTCAACAATCTTATTATATGATAATAACTAAAAGAACAGATTGAGATTCTACCTCCTATGCTACCCCCAATGAAGACCAGTATGTTTGATCAGATGGTAATGTTTTCAGATTTCATTTCATTCATATTAACATTATTCCTAGAAGCAACTAGAGGTTATTATTAATTGGTTGCGGGACACACATAACCAACTACTGATCATTGTTGGTCTTTCTAGAAAAATGATAAAACTGGAAATGTCCTTTATCTCATTACTAATGAATAAAATATCTTACTGATAAAGGAAGCTTTTTTTGATTCCTTAGACTGTTTTAAATTATTTTTCTCAAAAAAATATATTTATGAACTACCAAATAGGCTGAGGTGGTAGGCCCTGGGGAGTAAACCAACTGGGTCTAATTATTCAGAATTACACTAAGGAAATATTAATAGCGTCAGGAATAATGGCTGCTCTGAATTTTTCCTTTGTGAGTTAATTTGTTAGCTTTCAGGTATTACTGCCCCTTTCATAAACATACTATTTCTGGAAGATATACTTAGAAGAATTTCCCATAAAGTGTTTCTCTTTCATTTGATAGCTTGACATTGTCTTTTCCCCTCCTTCTCCTCCTACCTGCGTTTTGAAATAAACACTTCAGATATACCACACAAAAATTAGGAAATATTTTATGTGCTAAGTTACATGTTTTAAAAATAACCATCTTTAAGAGAGAGATATTTCTGATGCCGATTAAATTACAGTAATGCAAGAGGTAAAACAGCAGGTTTGTGGGGGAGGTAAATGTATGTTTAAAAAAAGAACCATCCCAGCCAATCAAATAAATTACAGGTAAGCTCCATTTTCTTCTTCCGGTTACCAAGAATCTGGATCTCTCTCTCTCCCTGTTTTTCCATTAAAATTTTTTATTTAATCCATCCTTTAATTTTGGGCAAAATTATTCTCATTGGAAAATATTAAAACTTTCAAATGCTATTTCAAAAGAATTTTGAGAAACATGCACAGGTTGCCTCGGAAACTCATTCAGAAATTGAACAAATTCTGCGAGGTAATTCAGCTCCATATTTTAAAACTCATTTTCCCCATTAAATATTTCAGTGGAAATTGCAAAAAATCACCATATTTTCTATAATATTTGTTTTATTGCAGATTTTTCTTTTTTCTTCTTTTCTTAAAGCTGTAAAGGTAAACTAAGCATGGAAAGAACATTCTCTTATTCTCTCCAGTATGCTCAGCTTCTGTAGCATGTTAATGTTGGAAGGCACAGAGTGGTTGAAAGGAAATTGAGGCATTATTTATGTGTGTATTATTTATATGTGTAAATATTCTAGGGGTAATATACTTAAAATTGTGTGCACTAATGGTCCTCAAATTAGACTGGAGGAAAACTTAGATCATCTACTTCTACTAATTTAATAGATGGGTAAATTGGCATTTTAAATAATTTGTTCAAGGTTATATAATGACTGGAGATCCTGAACTCATTTTACTTGGTTGGGTAAAATGTATCTGAAAGCTTTGCTATTTTGAATTAATTTTCAAGTTCATCTTGGTTGGAAAACTGAACTTACAAGTTGTCTAGACCCTGCTTTTCTAAAACACTAGTTTATTAAAGACTTAATTTTATGACAAGGATCAAGAAACCACCAAGATGGGGCTGGGGCTGGGGCTCAGTGATAAGAGTGCTTACCTATCGAGTGTGAGGCACTGGATTTCACCCTCAGCATCAATTAAAATAAATAACTAACTAAGTCACTAAATAAATAAGTAACAAAGGTATTGTGTCCATCTACAAAAAACAAACAGACCACCAAGATGGGTGAGCGAGAGAAGATGAACAGTGAGATAGTAAATAAACAGGAAGGGAGGAGTT